GGGAACCAGGATTCTCAGATAGAGAGCGGGAGGGAGGGATGGAGGGAGGGAGGGAGAGGCGCTTGACGAGGTGAGTGAGGGGAATCGCCACGCTCCTAGATGTGAACTCATACCATCTGCATGAACTCAATGCCTCAGCCCCACTGACTGACCAGGCTGGGCAACAATGAGCCAGTGGCAGCAGTGAGTGCCCTCAGACCCTTACTGTGTCCCTGCTACCATTTTCCACCAAAGGGAATCGGAGCTCTTTGGGGGAAATGGTTAATTCCAGATCTGAGGGAGGAAATGCTGACGGTGAACCCGGGAAATTTCATTCCACCAAAGAACAAGGACTCTCACGCCAAGGGGTGTGGATCCAGAAGACGGTCACTAAGACCATCACAACACATTCCACCAAAGAACAAGGACTCTCACGCCAAGGGGTGTGGATCCAGAAGACGGTCACTAAGACCATCACAACACATTCCACCAAAAAACAAGGACTCTCACGCCAAGGGGTGCGGATCCAGAAGACGGTCACTAAGACCATCACAACACATTCCACCAAAAAACAAGGACTCTCACGCCAAGGGGTGTGGATCCAGAAGACAGTCACTAAGACCATCACGACACATCAAATACAGTTAAACTCACCATCTCATGATGATAACCAGACAAAAAAATACAACAAAATACCAGTACCTCACTGGTCACTTTGGGAATCAGTTCATGATTTCAGAAACTGGAAAATCTTAGGGAGACCAAGCATGTCCCCCAACTTCCTACATGAACTATACAGGGTGACCCCAACTTGATGAAAGGAAGCTGGTTTTCAGAAATACGTCACATAGCAAATGGGGAAGGAAGGCAGAAGCAGAAAACGACCACCGTTGGCCTCTAATGCAAGGCTGTCATCAGCACGTCCGACTATGGGGGCTGCGTGTCACTGTGAGGCTAGAGGCTGTGCCACCAGTGTTTCGAGTGCCAGCAGGGCCCCTATGGTGGACAGTTTCAGTAGAGCCTCCAGACCAAGACAGACCAGGGAGAAAGGCCCGGTGACCTACTTCCAAAACCAGGCCAGGAAACCCTGCAGATGCTAGCAGAAGCCCGTCTGCCTCGCCTGCCAGAAGCCCGTCATCAGAAGGGACCAGTAACAAGAGGATATCATGTTTGGAAAGGTGATCCCACAGAATGTAGAAATTATAGAACAATATCATTAATATCACATGCAAGTAAGATCTTACTGAAGATAATTCAGAAACGTTTGCAGCAGTCTATTGACAGAGAACTTCCAGAGGTTCAAGCCCGATTCAGAAGAGAACGTGGAACAAGGGATATCATAGCTGTTGTCAGATGGATCTTGGCTCAAGGCAGGGAATACCAGAAAGATGTTTACTTGTGTTTTATTGACTATGCAAAGGTATTTGATTGTGTGGATCGTGACAAATTATGGACAACATTGAGAAGAATGGGAATCCCCGAGCACTTGATTGTACTCATGAGGAATCTGTACCTTGACCAGGAGGCTATCGTTCGAACAGAACAAGGGGACACTACATGGTTTAAAATCAAGAAGGGAGTGCGTCAGGGTTGTATTCTGTCTCCACACTTATTCAATCTATATGCTGAGCAAGTAATCCGAGAAGCTGGACTATATGAAGAAAAACGTGGTATCAGGATTGGAGGAAGAATCATTAACAACCTAAGATATGCAGATGATACAACTTTGCTTGCGAAAGTGAGGATGACTTAAGGCATCTACTGATGAAGGTTGAAGAATACAGTCTGCAGTATGGATTACATCTCAATATAAAGAAAACAAAAATCCTCACAACTGGACCAATGAGCAGCATCACAATAAATGGAGAGAAGATTGAGGTTGTCAAAGAATTCACGTTGCTTGGTTCTACAATCGATGACAATGGAAGCAGCAGTCAGGACATTAGACGACGTGTAGCATTGGGAAAGTCAACTGCGAAGGAACTGTTTCAAGTGCTGAAGAGCAAGGATATCTCATTGAGGACTAAGGTGCGTCTGACACAAGCCATGATATTTCCAATCGCCTCGTATGCATGTGAGAGCTGGACAATGAATAAGGAAGACCGAAGAAGAGTTGATGCTTTTGAGTTGTGGTGCTGGCGGAGAATGCTGAAAGTACCATGGACTGTTAAAAGAACTAACAGATCTGTCCTGGAGGAAGTACAACCGGAATGCTCCTTGGAAGCAAGAATGGCCAGACTTCGTCTCACCTATTTTGGTCGTGTTGTAAGAAGGGACCATTCCCTGGAGAAGGATGTCATGCTTGGTAGGGTGGAGGGTCGACGAAAAAGGGGGAGGCCTTCAACGAGATGGATTGATACGGTGGCTGCAATGATGGGCTCAAGTATAGCACGGATTGTGGGGCTGGCGCGGGATCGGGCAGTGTTTCGTTCTGCTGTGCATGGGGTCACTATGAGTCAGAAACGACTCGACGGCACTTAACAACAACAACAACATCATGTTTGGAGAAGGCCAGGGCCAGTGAGGGTGATGGAGACCCCTGGAGACAGGTGGGCACACAGCCGCAACCACAGACTGAACATGCCAGCGACGGTGGGGATGACGCAGCCCTGAGCGACATCTCCTTCTGTTGGACATGAGGCTGCTGTTAGGGACTGAACTGTGGCCCCAGCACGTGTGCTGTAACTCTCTCCCAACACCTGTGGGTTCAGTACCATTCGGGAACGCTGCTGTTAGGGATTGAACCGTGTCCCCCAGCACGTGTGCTGTAACTCTCACCCAACACCTGTGGGTTCAGTACCATTCAGGAAGGCTGCTGTTGTTAGGTGCTATCAAGTCAACTCCGACTCGTAGTGACTTCATGTACAACAGAATGAAACACTGCCTGGACCTGGGCCAGCCTCACAATCCTTGCTACACCTGAGGCCATCGTTGCAGCCACTGGGTCAGTCCATCTCGTTGACAGAATAGGGCTTTCCTTATTGCGTCAGTGAGCTCACATCAGTGTCTGGGAGGTCTTAAGCCGACCACCTCTGAGGTGTAAACCAGGCTGATTGGGCACAGGCAGGCAAGCAGGGGCAGGTCCCAGGGAGTCCTACAAGGAACCAAGAAACAGGAGGTCCAAACAGACATGACCTCCCCCAGAGCAAGAGAGAGACAGGGCCTCCCCAAGAGCTGATGCCCTGAACCCAACTTCTGACGTCCTGAACTGGGAGAAGATCAATTTCTGTGTGTGAAAGCCACCACCCACGGTATTTCTGTTACAGATGCACCAGGTGACTTAGACACCAGGAGGCAGGGGTGCCACAACTATGTCACTGGTGAATGACGGCTCTCAACCACAATGACGAAGACCTAACATCAAAGAAAAAGGCCACCTCCTGGAAGTTCATGTTGCCAAGGAGGGAGCCACCCCACGGACTGGTCTGAATTCCACTAAGTGACTAGGGAACACAGGACAGACTGCGGGCAGCCTGGGCCACCAACTCCCAGGTGCAATCAGTGAAGTCCAGTGTGAGTATCTCTACCAGCAGCCACTTGGCCGCTCAGCTGAGAACCTACCAAGCAGTAGGTGGCAGAAATGAACCAGCCAATTACAACGCAGACCTGGGAGAAACCAGCCAATCACGATACACAACCTGGGAGAAAGCAGCCAATCACGATACACAACCTGGGAGAAAGCAGCCAATCACGATACACAACCTGGGAGAAAGCAGCCAATCACAACACACAACCTGGCCTGGCTGTTGATTCAAAGGCCCCAAACAAATGATGAGACACTGGAGGAAAGTTGAACTTAAGTTGGATGTCGGATGACATGAAAACAAACCTTTCTTCTAGTTGTGATGTTGGATTCACGGTTTTTAAAACATGTTGAGCCACGTATTGAAGTCCACATGAACAACATGATGGGATGGCTGGGTTTGGCTTTAGACAGTCAGGGAGCGGACACCACCGGGTGCAGGGGAAGGGAGCCTGGCTGTGAACCGACGTGGCTGATGCAGAGCAGGTCAGTCCACCCTCCCTGGGGCCCTGGAACAACCTCCAGCAGGGCTCGGCCAAACTTGCTGGACAGTGGCCAAGGCTGACGGACAGATGCCAGAAGGAGCCTACACCCGTGCCTTCCTGGCTAAGGCACCCAGCAAGAGGGTCTGTCCTCCCATTCACATCCCATCCCCCAACTGCAGGAGCCCACTGCCACACCTGAGTGTACCCGAAAATCCATGTGGCCAGCTCTGTAACCACAGTCTAGTCCCTACCCACCAGCACAGGGCAGACCCAGCCTGGCCCTCACCCCACTCCAGCCAGCTCTACAGCCACCTTGACTTGTTGTGGGGAGACTGAGGGTGTCACCAGACCTGCCCTCAAATTCACGCTGCCTGGCTTAAACCCTAAGCATCAGACGGCTGTACCACTAGGCCCCAGTGACCTCACCTGTAACATGAATGCAGATTCAAACAACAAAAGCAGTGCCCGCAGCACGACCAGGCCTGGAAGGCGCTCAGCTCCCTGCAGGAGCCATACGCCCCTCCGGAACAACCTGTGAGCACCACCCCAGAGCCACGGTCCAGCAGGTGGGAAAAGCCCCAGCAGCCCAGGTGGGGCCGCACGGCTGAGAAGCCCCAACAGCCCCGGTCCCACCACCACAGGAAACGAACGGTGAAGCCACTGCTCTCCTGCCTGCTCTGCACACACTCAGGGGCATAGCGCGATGGGGAGGTCCAGACGCCCTCAAGAAGCACAAACGCCGATGGACGCTGAGCTGACCGCACAGGCCCAGCCCAGGGTCACTGAGACCAGGCGGACACTGTGTTCTGCCCTCCAGAGCCATGACCCCACGCCAAGCAGAGGCCTCCTGAGGCCACAGGTGGGGACTCGGGTCAGGAGGGGACACTGTGCCAGCCGCAGCTGCCCCTCGATGGGTCCAGGGATAGGGTTCGCAGTGGGTCCCTCAGCCCAGCTCCTGACGGCACTTCAGTGGGACGCTGTCCCGTCCTGTCCCTGTCCCCTGGGCTACTTACGGAGAAAGTGCTTTTCCAACAAGGCGATCTCCAGATGTCCCTTGATCTCGTTCAGCCGGTCAGACTCTGTCCGGTTGAAGTCCTGGACCCCTGTGGCCATGATGAGGGTCCCCGGGCCAGCCTGGAAGAGAACACGGGGCACTCAGGTGAGCCTCCAGAGCGCCAGCCTTCCTCCCGCAGGTCTCCAAGACGCCCTGGAACCTCAGGGGTGGCGGTCGGCAAGCGGGCCGATAGAGCCCAGGGCCCACATCTGCAGGGACCCACACTGTCACCTCGGTATCACCCGTTGTTGGCGGGAACATCTCAGTCCCCTCAGACAGCCCAGAGCCACTGTAAGTGGGACTAAGAAATAATCAACTATTTAAACAACGGCCTGAGGCTAAGCCTTGTAGACAGTCCCCAGTCCCGATGTGAGGTGTCAGCAGCGCGGAAGCCAGCCTGGCTGGTTCGCTGCCCAGCCAACAGCAGAGGCGCTGAGACAGCGGAGAGGCGGGGGGGGGGAGTGGCACTGGGTGTGGGCCGTGCCAGTCCGTGTGACAGCATGGAGCATGTGACCTGTCACCCTCACATCCACAGGACTGGGCCCCCGTCCTGGGAGCCGCAGGGACAGAAACGGTGGAGGGCGAGGGCTGGGGGAGGCAGGGAGGTGGAGAGGGCAGTCCACAGCCTCACTGGATAATCAGTCAAGGCCCTGAGGTTAGAGGTGACCAAACTCCAAAGGCCCTCCCTCCACCCACAGCCGGCCCATCACAAACACAGAGCCGGCAGCTCAGGTTACAGGTGACTCTGCCCTGAGCCTCAGGCTTGGCGGCCACCCTGTCTCCACTTGCAAGGAGCCTGGCTCCTGGCCAGGTGATGGACCCACAGTGACCACTGCTGGTTGGGTTGGCGGTCTGAGCTTCCAGAGACAGCAGCTCCCAGCATGCCCTGCAGGCTGGTAGGGCCTCCACAGGGAGCTGGGACGGGGCCCAAAGGCAGTCAGTCATTCCACCTGGCGGCCATGGGTGAAGCCTGCGGGGAGGGCAGCGGCTGCAAACTCAGGAGACCCTCCTCGCCCCGAGGCTGGCAGGCAGGAAGCGGGGCACCCCAGGTACCAAGAGGGCCTGGCCCGCAAGGACCCCACACGTCAACGCAGACCCTGGTGCTCGGTGAGAGTAGGTGTGGCTCTGGCCTCTGTCCAGAGGTACTCTGCCTGGACAGCTCGCCGGGCAGGGAAGCTCTGTGCTGGGGCCGTGCCTGTCCCCACCCCCACAAACCCCGCTCAGTCATGAGGCATTACAAACCCTACAGCTGGACCCTGAGCATGGCAACCCCTGTGCTACGTCCTCCTCGTCCCCAGGTGGACCCTGACAAGCTAGAGGTGAGATGGCACGATGCCTGGGGTTTGCTTTCAAGTCTGCGGGAGGCACGAACGGTGAACATGCCCGGCTGCTCCAAACGGCTGGGGGTCGAGTCCAGACGCGCCTCCAGAGAAAGGCCTGGTGATCTGGCTCCCAGCTGGCAGCCCCTGGAAACCCCGTGGGCCCAGTTCTGTTCTGACACACAGGGTCGCCATGAGTCAGCGCTGACGCGATGGTGAGGGCTTACCCGGGAGGGGGTGGGCATGTCGAGGGCTGAGTCACAACTCGGCAGGCGGCTGGGGCTGATGGAGGACGCGGGCTCATGGGGCCCTCTCAAGTCCATCTGCGACATGTTGACATTTTCCAGCATAAACAGTTTTGGAGCTTTTATTTAAAAAAAAATCTCAAAACCACTGGCTGCATGGGACCTCCTGGCCTAGTCTGCGTGCCGCTCCCAGACCCTTCTGCTGATGGCGCCAGGCAGCCCCAAGCGACCCCTGCCCCCTCCCCTGCCCTGCCCTGCCCTGATGGCGCCAGGCAGCCCCAAGCGACCCCTGCCCCCTCCCCTGCCCTGCCCCCCACTGCCTGGCTCCACCTGGACCAGCCTGGACACAAACACACCTGTGGCCGCCGGCCCAGCTGCCCTTGCCCCGCCTCTGTCCAGCTCTCTTCCCAACCCCATCCCCTCTGACGATGCTTGGGACAAACCCAGCCCCCCATCCCATCAAGGCCAGGCCGAGAGACTGTGGAACGTTGTCTCAGGAAAAGGCAGGGCTCACGTGCTGAACTGACCTGAACTGGACTGAACTGTGGCCAGCCGCCAGCCCCTCAGCCCAGCTCACAGCTTCAGACCCTCAGCGGCCTCCCCTCGCCCTCCTGGCTCACTGCTCTCCTGTGGGGCCACCTCTCCAGGCGGCAGTTCTCTGTCAGACACTCCTCTGCAGGTGTGTGGGACGAGTGCCTCTGCTGACCCCGGCCTGCCTGGGACCCCCTCCTCCATCCCTGCCCCTTTGTCTTGCCTCCTTATCTGGAAACCACCCCCCGGGACAGAGTCACACAAAAGGGAACTGCAGGAACCCAAACACATGCAGAGACGGCCCAGGACCTCACCAAAGAAACCAGCCTCTGACAGGCCATCTTTATTACACCAGTGGTGAACCCGCAAGACAGGCCCCTCACCAGCCCTTAGGTGGGCATTCTGGTACCAGCCAATGGAGCGACACACAGGCACCACGGGACCAGCGTGTCCACCTGGAGGGCAACGCCCCACAGGGCTGCAAGGGGGGTATGGAGGGATGGGACGAAGCCGAGGGACTGGAAGGACCCCCCAAAGATACAAGCTGAGGTCCTCACCCCTCACCTGTAAATCGGGACCTGTCTGTCATGTTTATGAGAACACAGCAGGGCACAGCCCATTGCTGTACTCACAGCGCCCCTAGAGGACAGAGTGGAACTGCCCACAGGGTCTCCAAGGCTGTCAACCTTCACAGAAGCAAAGCCCAAACCACACCCACTGCCTGGAGTCCATTCCGACCCACAGCGCCCCTAGAGGACAGAGGGGAACTGCCCACAGGGTCT